AGGGACACACACACATACAGAGAATGCTCTCCATAACTTACATCGTGTGTCTTGGAGACGACTGCACTGAAATAGGATCCAACTGCAACTGGAAGTGGGAAAAAGAAAGAAACAGATCTTTAGGCATATCTTGCAAAATAGTTTTTATATGCCTTCGCGTACGACCCAGCAGTTTTAGCTCTGACTCTGAAAGCGTATCTGTTCTAAATCACTAGACTCAACTCACTTCTCTTTGAAGCAAGGAGTCCTTGCCCTTTTTTTTCTCTTTTTTTCCCTGTGTTACAAAGCTCCAGAATCCGCTGTTGCCCTGTGTGCTCCGACACTTTTGACGCACACTAAAAACATGTTTCAAATATTTGTATCCCGCCGTTTGGTATGGAATGCAAACAAAGCCAACTGATCGATACAACAGAATGACATTCAACACCAAAAGAGATCAGGATCCCTTTTTACTTACCTTTTTCCTACAGTATCCAGGAACCCCAGTCCTCAAATCTCAGATATCCAAGTTGGATCCTGCCCTCCTTTCCATTCTCTCTTTCTCTCCCTCCCTCTTTCTCTCTCCTCTCCAGTTCTGACGTTGCCTTCAAATTGCAGCTGGCTCAGTGGGAGGGCAGTTGATGGTCCCTCCCCCTCTCCCACCAAAAAACGGCATCACATTCTCTCTTGCTTAATCAGCTTTGTCTGACTTAAGTCTCCAGGTCCTGCAGCTGGCAAAGAGTCTTCTCTATGGAGACTTTTGCAGTTAGGTATATAAAGGCCTACTGACTGTGCGAGTAGGCCTTTATATATGACATTTCCCTACACCATGTTTGTCTGTAGTTCAAAGTGAGAAAGTGGATATAAGAGTGATTAGCTTCAGAAATCCAGGTCGGTACATGTGCACTTGTATAATTAGGTCCCCCAATGTCTCTGGCTGTGCATGAGATCTTGGATGTGCAAGAAACAGGAACAGACAATTGCAGGAGTGTGTTCAGTGACCTACATGTGAGCATACTAATTGCCTTTCTCTATGAAGATGTATAAGAGTATTGAGACCCCCAAATAAGGAGAGGTATATAAATTTGTCCACACAAGCAGATGCAGAAATTATGTGCCAATGAGAATGTGTGAACACAAGCATCATATAAGTTGTTAAGCATCATGATGCACGTAGCAGCTTGGCATAACTGGCAATTCAGATTGAATTTTCATGCAACCAGGCAGCTATAAATCAATAGCCCACTTTTTTCTTCCCACAGAAGCTTCTGCAGACTCAGGAAAATGCTACATGCTGTATCAAGGAATCCCGCTGGCTGTGATGGAAGGGAGGAATCCCTGAAAAAACAGTAGAGGCGTCTTCTGTGAGATGAATGCTGCTCCTACAAAGTGCTTCCATTCAATTTTCAGACATTTCTTCCCAGTTCTGCGGCCAACCTCATTCAGGGCTCTCCTGATGTTCTATGTATTGTCATGGAGAGATGAGGAAGTCTGTACCAGACCAGTTGCATATACTTTCACACCCAATATTAAATGTCCAAGAAATGCCCATCTGAATTTCTTTACATCAGCTTTCCTTTATCTATTATTATACTTTAATTCCCATAATCCCCATTCAGCATGAATTTCAGAGTTGCACAGCATCAGGTTGGGAAAGACTGTCCTAGGCTTCAGTGTTTAAACTATTCAGTGGTCACAACAGATGGCAGTGTCTAGCCAAATTTGGCTGATCTCAAAAAGCTTCATAATGTCAGGCTGATTAATGTTTGGAGGGGACACCCACCATGAAATCCCAGGGTTGCACAATCTAGTAAGAAGTTGAAAAATCATCTCAAAAGAAGGCAATGGCAACACATTTCATTGCCACGAAAACAATAGATTTCTATGATGTTACAAGGAGCCAATTAGTCTGAAAGGAGACTTTAATACTGAAGTCTCTGGTCATCTATACTTTTCTATCTTGTGGTCATCAGCTGTTAGTCTGCCTACTTAACCAACTATATCTCATCAAGGCAGGTGCATCCTTCCCTCATCTACATTACAGCTATTTTGCTGGATTGGACTACAACCCCATAATTCTTTCCAATCAGTGTCTCTAAGAGGCTCAGAAGCAGAGACTTAAGGTGACTGCTTTTTCTTCTTGTTGACCTCTAGAGTCTGATATTCAGAAGCATGCCATCTCTGAATATGTGAATTTCCCCTTAGCTATCCGGGCTAAGATGCAGTGATCAATGTAGTTTCAGTTCATTTATTTAACCCTTTAAAAATCCATGGTGACTAATTACTTAGATTCTGCACTTAGCTTTTCTGAGGTTGACCCTGTGTTAAAGTATATATTTTTTGTTAACCTGACTGCTGATCTATTTGATAGGAAACTCCAAATTCTAGAAATGAATAAGGAAAGAGAAAGATACCTAACTACTTTCTTAACCATATTCATAACATTATAAACTGTTATCGGTTGGGTTCACATTATGTCTTAGCATAACATGTCTGGTTTTTTGTCTAGGTATAATCTTTGAACCCATAATGGTTTGTAAACCAGGGCTTATGACTTGGTGTCATGTGTGAATCCAACTACTAGGCTTATTCAAGAAATTATGGTTTACAAAAAAGCATGTCTTAGTACACTATGTGAACACAGTGGTCATGTTTCTACATAAGCCTTTTACATGCAGAGTGTCCCAAATGTACTTACACTTTAAATAACAAAACAAGTATTTCTTTTTTTTCTTCCTTTAATTAACTTACCTTATCTGGAGATTTCAGCCTTTTTGACATGCTAATATCATCTTCCCAGTGGAGCATGGCCAGCACACTTTTCTATCCTCTGTAGGAATCCTAAAAATGTGTTTGCCAATATATTTTGCAAAGCAGCCTTTTTAGACTCCACGAAGATACCCAATGTACTTAGGTTGCATTACTGCTGGTTTAAAAAAAAATCCTGTAGGGAATAGATCAGCTTGAGTTCAGAAGTTGCTACTTCACTTGCCTTTCTCCCTGCTAATTAATATTTTTATTTCTACAACTCACTGCAGCTGCTTTAAGCATTTGTACATCTAATGTTAAGGGCTAGGGTTGCCAAACAGGTTACTGTTTTCTTATTGAACAATGGGTAACCATGACAGTGCCAGTCAGCCACAAAGGATTAAAAATGGTGTTCCGTTCTAGAATGATGAATTCCAGAATGTATAGACAATGATTATCACAATTCCCCTAAGGCAGCCTACCACAACTGCTACCCTCCCACAACCTAGTACTCTCCAGATGGACTGGTTCGCAGTTTCCATCAATCCTGGCCAGTACGGTCATTGGCACCAGCTTAAAGACTATCTAGAAAACCAACTTTAGCATAGCGTGACCTGATTTCTATGGCTTTTTATGTGCCCTGATTTTGTTTGGTTGGTTTATATCATTTGTCCATCAAAAATCTTCTATCAATTCTCTTCTCTTTCATTTTTGTTCCTTCCCTTTTTACCCTGACTCTTCTGAATCAAATTGCTCTTAGCTAATTATCCAGGCCAGCGCTTACCAACCTTTTTAATCACCTCCTCATAGCAGTGGCTGATCCCTACATTCCTCTCTTCCATCATGTGCTGCTTAGCTTTTTGCTGTCTGCTTTTCCAGTGGATTATTTGCAGATATAAAACAAAATAGAACGCTGATGCAATTTTTCAAAACTTATACTGTGCTTTTCTATCCTTCTAATATTCCTGCCCACACAATCCTCCTGCACAACACAATGACCCACCAAAACCTCTGAACAGCAACCCACTTGGAGGCCTGCTTGGGAAGCAGAAACAATCAGATTGTAAAGTCTAATTCCCAGATTCCATTTTAGGACTGGACTCCTTGGCCTAAACCACTGTTTCTCAACCTTGATGGCTTTAAGATGTGTGGACTTCAATGCCCAGAATTCCCCAGCCAGCCATGGGGAATTCTGGACATTGAAGTCCACACATCTTAAAGCTGCCAAGATTAAGAAACATTGGTTTAAACATTAACCCTGCCCCTCCTGATGTTTGCTTTCTATCTATGTAACCTAAGGATGAGTTCTGGAAAAGTCCAAATCTTCAGTTGCCCACCTTGTAAGGATCCACATTTTTCCTGTGGTCAACATAAAGAAATTTGAATTTTGTAAAGAAGTAATTCCTATACAGTTTTTAATTAGGGCTACCCCATGTATCAGTGGCAAAAAATCTGGGCAGCACCATTAGATGGCAGCAAAGAGTTAGTTTTCACTAATAGTGAAATAGCTATTGTCCGGATTTTAGTAGCCCAGATCTGATAGCCCTATTTTCATGCACTCTGAACATGCTCAGGAGCACGTTTGGTAGTTTTTTTCACCCCTGGCTTCAACTGATTTCTTGAATTCAAAATAAATACGTAGGCAAACCCTGCCACAGATTGTATCCCAACACACTATACTCAGTGACCCCGTCCTTGGCTTTTATTATTTTTTTCCCCTTATTTGTTTTGGTCCCTACAGGAAAGCTCTAGAAAGGAAAAAGGGAGGAGCGTTTCTCCCGGAAAAAGGGGGCGGATTCTCATAGCCCCCTGCAAATGAGGGGAAGAGAAAGGAAGCGAAGGCGTGGCCTTCTATGCAAAAGAGCCTCAAGTACGTAGCATGACGCAAAATGGAGCGCCGGACGTGACACTGTGGAAAGTGGCGTATCCGAAACTAGGGGCAAAGGGGCGTGGCTAGCAAGGTAGATATAGGGGCGTGGCTTAGAGCGGGATCGAGGAAGTGGAGTCGAGTGGTTGGTGGAACGTTCGGGAGCAGAGAGGTGGGTCACGCGGCGGGCAGTCCCGGCGCCGCAGAGCTTTGGGTCCCGTGTTGGGTGTTAGAAAGTAGCGTCCTAAGGTAGAAAGTAGCGTCCTAAGGT